GCTGGGTTCATGGGGGCAAAACGCAAATCGGAAGGAAGATGGTGATAATGATATGGTGTTTTAAAGGACGAACTCGAAGAGAGAGAGATGTCTTCACAAATTTCTCCTTTTACTACACATTTAAATTTCTAGTTAGCAGCAAGCATGCGTTCAGAAACTTGATATGAATTAGGGATTGCAGCATTCTAACAGGCAAATACGGGAAAGAAAATCAACTTCACTTTGTAAATGTCCATATGTTCACCATTTTAAACACATTTTGTTAATAACCGTGGAAGATACTGCAACGAATCCAATAGATATCCAAATCAACGAGGAAACTAGCCTCCAGGTGGATGGAATTCTAAATGGTGAAGACAGGGAGATGTACAAATGATGCAAGAATAGTAGCTACATGAAGGTGCCAGCTATCTTGTTGGTAAATCTCTGGTTGGTATCTCAGCGTTGGGGGGCTGGGGGGGCATGTCTAACGGTTCGGAAGATTTGAGAACTTCATACAGATTGCACTAAGAACAGTTTATTTGGTTTGGTCATGGAATAAACATCACATACGTAAAAGAAAGAGGAATTATTCTTGTTGACACTGAAAATATAAAAAGATTGATCGGCAGAAAGATTACAAATAAAATAAGGAAATGGGTAAAGCATGTTAGATGGAAAATGCACTGTTATTATGGCTCTCTTATGGGCATATCACACAAAACAATAGGCAAGTGCCAATGCTACAGGGCTTGCAAGAGTTCGTGTAAGCAGATATTTCAAACAAAAAGAAACGAGAGGAAATTGGCTGAAATCTCCGATTTTCTTTTTCGTTCTTCTTGCTTTTAAGATTATCTATTTTCAGGGCTAGCATGGCTTATCTTAGAATATTTTTATTTTTTTTTAACTTGGAATTTAAGCTTCATTCAATGTCCATATAGGCTTCTCTTACTTTTAGTAACAACATTGGTTGTTTACTGGTCATCTTTCATTCACTGGCCAACTGTAATTGTATCCTTTAATGCCTGATTATATGGAAAAAAAAGTGTCACTCACTATCTTATCGGTTTGAACTGACTTTCTCTCAAGGATCCTCTCTTCTATATATTCATATATCTATCTATCTATATATATATATATATTATTTTAAGTCTAAACTTGTAAATCGTATTTGATCCCCTTTTTTATTCATCCTAGCACTAGGAACCGTAAGCAATCTGTTACTTGACATGCATGGAGATATCAGGAACAAAAGATACCACGGTAGCAAATTACTCTAATAAATGGTGCCTTGGAACGTTTCCCTTCCTGTTTTTTTGATAGCAAAAACAAATTTACTACCAATTTTGATAATATTTAAAAAAAAATGATGAAACCAATTCCAATTCAACCTTTAGTTTAGAAAATTAGATCCTCAGTAAATAGCTATATAGATCAGTAAGCAACTATTTTTACCAAAAAGAAAAGGTCAGTAAGCAACTTAGGGGGCAATCAGCAACATGAATTGTTTATTTTGTTACCGGTTTCAATAAAACAAGTCAAAACCAACTGGTTTGGAAAGAATGCACAAAAATGTTCTTGAATTTCTGGTTTCAAAAATATGCTTTCATCTGATTATTCAATATTATGTTCTATAAGTCATATAATTTGTACACTAAAATTTGTTTTTATTTTAAAAATCAATATTTCGATGGTTCTAAATGCATGCATTGCCATTTGAACCAAAAACAATCTATTCTTGCCCTTCAAAACAAAAACAGAATTCAGAAGCATGCTTTTGTTTTTTATCATGATATGGCAGCTTCAAAACAAATGAAAATACACCCCCCCTAATTTTCAAGGGACCAAGGCAAGGCTAGGCAACAAGAGGGTGCCTTGCTGCCTAGGCATCTAGGCTATGATTTTTTAAATAAGAAACACTAAGGCCCTTTTGCTTTTCAGGAAGTTACTTACTTAGGCAAATGCACTTACTCAAGTAAATGTTTCCTGGCAAATATTTATCCAGATAAATCCATTTACCCATGTTCTTTTATTTTCCAGGTAAATAAGACAATCAGCTGGCCATAAAATGCCATTATTGAAAGATGTAATTTTGTGCCATCCAAGTGTTGGCAACTTTCCCCCTACCCACCTAGGAGATGGGTATGGATATCTTGGTCAATTTTCTATGGATTCCACATAAAACTGAAAAAAGGACATGGGTATCTTGGTCAATGGAAACCAAAATCCCATTGACCAACTTTCTCCCTCTCAAAATCCAAAAAACAATCAGGCCCTAAATCTTATTTGCATTCCCTACGTTCCAATAGCAACTGGTGATCATCTTTCACTAGTTATCAACAGTTTTTATAAAACAGTTATAAACAAACTTCATATTAAAACATAAAAAATCAACAATTTCTTAAAAGAAAAGAAAATTCAAAAATCATATGAGCCAAGCCGATGCAGTTGTCCTAGGAAAAAATAAAAGGGTTGAAGAACAAGAAAAATATGTTGATTAGACAAAATTTAAAGTGCTTCCTTGCTTATTGTTTCAAGCTTTTTAAGACTTTAAGGGTTCCAAACAACATAAACCAATAAAAAAAGTTCAGAACAACATGTGTGTTGATTATTTATCAAAAAAAAACATATGTGTGTTGATTGAATCATAATAAAAAAGAAAAAAATAAGAAGAAACTAGTTTTAAATCCACAAAATAAGATGAAACTCCTGCTTTACATTTGTTGTGGTTCAAGGTATATCCTTTTGGACCACAAGGTATAATACATTTATTGTGGCTCAAGTTACATTTTGTGAAACCAATTGTGAGATACTTAGTTGGTAGGTTGGATGATTTATCCCAAGAATATGCCGATTTGATTCCTGCTATCATCGTCTTTGAAATAAAGGTTATGAATAAATATCAAAAGGGTTAATGTATTATTCACAAAAAAAAAAACAGCCCTATGTTGATTACTACCAAAAAAAGTTGCATTTTGTGTAATCTACCCCATTTAATTATTATTTATTTTGATGCCTATCCTATTCTTACCCCATTTATATTTCTTGAAGATTGTCTAAGAAAAAAAGTCAAAAGATCTATGGAGGAGGTACATCAAGTATGTCAGATACTTACTCTCAAATAATTATCTGATGATTGTTGATGTGTTGACGTGCTTTTCAGTAACAAGAATTTAATGATCTAGTTTTTTAAGTATAAATTTCCTTATGGAATTTGTTTTGTTGTTTTTTTTTTTTTTGGTTTCCAGATAATTTCCTTTTGGTGTCTGTTAATCAAATTTCTTATGTAAAATAATCATTTTTCTAGTTTTGCATATAAAGTTGCATCCAATATGTTCGGTAACGTTTTCAGTTTCTACTTGGTATATTATCTATACATCCTTGAGAAAACAATAGCATTATGCATTACTTCTGCATAATGCGGTATCAAAATTTACACAATGGTGGATGTTTCTCCATCCAAAATTTGTTTATGCATAGTGACTGAACATCATCATGTTATTTCTCTCGAAACAATATAATTTTCATTTTCTGATTCCAATTGACTGAGAATTACAAAGGCAAAGGTAACAAAAAAGAAAAAAGAAAAAATGAATATAACTTGGCTCAAGAATATAAATTCTTCAAACAATTGAAAATTAACTACTAATATGACTACATAATTGACCTAATTAACTAAAAATAATTATCTTAGATCAATAATTGGAATAAAAATGAATATAATAAGAATTATTTGATAAACTAAAAATATGCAATACTTATTTAACTTATAACTTGGGATATTAAATTATAATTACTTAATCTAAATAGATTAAGTTAAAATAAGTAAAATAGAAATATAATTACATTAAAGTTAAGTAAACTTAAGCCTTAGTATTTACACTAACTTGATTTCAAATTTAGAGTAAAAGTAATTATTGATAACTAATGTAAATTAAGTTATTTAATTATTGTTTATGTAAATATCCATAGGAATTTCAGCCGGACTTTTACTAGCATATGGCTACTCATGCCTATCATCTAGATGTAATTAATTTTAATTTTTGCCAAGAAAGCATTAATCATCGTTCCTGAACTCTTCTTAAAAAATGTTAATATTCTCCTGAACATGAAAAACTAACAACCATTAGGGGGTTCCTTCTATTTCAGTTTTACTTAACAAAATTCAAGCATTGGATGGGACCCGACTATGATATTCTTAAATCTTAAAATATCAGCACTAAATACCTGGCTTTTGAGGACTTCAAAAAAATAATAACTGGCTTTTGAGAAGAAGAAAAAAAGACGAAGAGCTGTTTAGATTAATGATAGGTCAAAATAGAACAAGGGAAAAAGAGATTCATTATCAGTAAAAGCACAGAAATTAATCAGTTGAAGGATGATGAAATGACGAAAAAATATTTAGAGACAAAAAGGATACAATTTAAGGTGGGTAACACATAGTGGAGTAAAGTGAAGTCTTGATTGGCGATTAGGATTCAATTCATCCTAGAGTGAGCATTTCTTGGTTTTATCCATTCACAAGGGGGGAAAAGGATGGAAAAAACATATCTAGACTACACCTATCTACATCCGCGTAGATGATTAATGAGTTAAATCAGCAAACAAGAAAGAATTACCACTATTACTGCTAAGTTTAATGACTACGAAACAAGAAGATTCTTGTTTCCAGAAACTCATGAATAGCATAATGTAAGGTATCTGCAACATGAATTGAATATGGAGACTATGATGCATAGTACCTAAACATCTTTGCATGTCGAATTCATGTGTATATATGGACAAAGTAAAAGAAATGGTAGCAATCTTTTCAGCATATTGTTCTACCTTTCTCTAGTTCTTATTTCTAACAATTTAAATAAAGCACACCAAAAGGCATACAATAGAAAGCAAATGCTGATAACTCCCCATACTAACTCTGTTAAATTGAAATATACAGAAGAACAAGAATTTCCTGTAGCAAGATAACAAGAAACCATAGGAATTTTTGGTTTCCAGCCAAGATACTTGAAAGAGATTGGTGATGATTAAATTTCAGATATTATAAATAAGCAATTCTGAGTACATATTACAATCTTAGATAATAATATTTCAATTAGGTATCACCGAAACAACACATATATATTGATTTATAAAATGTCTGGGAAGGTTATATGACCTTTACTGCTATTCAAGCAAGGCGTAGATCGTGGGAGCCATATAATCCTCCAACCTGAAGATTAGGATGGTTGGGTTGCAGACGGAAAGAAAATAAGTGGGAACCCGCGTTTGACAATCCAAGAGATGATTCATAGTCTGCATCGTTGTCGACTAGCCCATAGTGTGGATCCTCATCTCGCTCTTCCTTGAAGAAAACAAATACCTAGTTTTTAATAAAGCCCTTTGTTCATAACATTGAAGGGGAATAAAAAGGATAAGATTAACGTTCTTACAAATTGACGCAGTAGATTTGTATGTGCTTCTTGCAAGTTCCTTATCTGCAAACAAAAATGAAGAGACGGAAGTGTAGGAAGTCCATTAGTTAGTTCCCCAGAATAGCCAAAACGATTTAACCACACGCATAGAAACATTAACGTACCTTTTTCTTGTAAGTGTCAGTCTGTGTTGAGATCACGTGATACTGTTCACAATGAGACGAATTTTCTTATGTTGCATGATCTAAACCGAAGATTTTCAATTTCCAAAGAACACATGCAAGATGAATATAGGAAAAACAGTAGATGAAAACGAAAAGAATGATTATAAAATAGACCAAATCGGTGAAGTTGTATATAAATTACGTTAGTAAGATCAGAAAATTTTCTGATGAATATTGAAATCTCAGAAAAGCTAAGAACTTTGCTTAATGCTGCTAATAGAATTTGAATTTTTCCATGGGAAATGCGAAAAGAAAAAGAAAAAACAGCTACTAATCACCATAGGAGGTTCAACCTCTCTGTATTTTTAGAAAAAGTAAAAGAAAAATATTGAATTATAAAATTTCTTCTTCTTCTGCAATCACGAAGGGGAAAAAAAAAGAGAAGTCGATCAGAAGCTTCAATTTTTAAGTTTTTCTTCACCTTTCGCTCACGAACAACCTTCAATGAGTTCTCCAAATTTTGCTCAAGACCGCGCAGTTCTTCGATGCTCATATCGTCCAGATCTCCACCCATCCTCCGCCTAATAAACGCGCCCAAATTATTTTCATCAACACAAAAGTTTGCAGCGGAATGGAAGAAAATAAATATTAGAAAATTTACTATCAGCGGGCAAAGTTATTTATGATTCATGTCTATCTATCTCAGAAACAAATCCTTATTACCATGGATGCAAGGATCAGTGGTATTACCTAATCTCTCTTTGGAGATTATTATTAATCTCCTTCTGCTTGTTTAAATGCTCTTGCATTCTCTGTACGCCTCGAGGAACAAACAGCAAGCCGTAAAGAAGTTAGCAGTTTTTTGTTCCGAACAAAATGCAGATATCGAAAGGAAAATAGTTATGAGAAATAGATTAACCTCGTAATGCGAGCTCCATAGATTTATTCCCGACACCTGCTGATACCGATCGAATATCTTCTTTGTTCTGTGGCATGTAAACAACCAGAAGAAGTTCAAAGGAGGTAGGGTTTGGAACGGAGCAAAGTAAAAAAGAAAAAAAAATGTTTAGAGTGAGATTGAAGATGGAAAAAGTGTAGAAACTGAAGCCAAATGAAAACAAGACGAGAAGTATACGTTGTGGTATGGCTGATGTATTCAGAGAATTTTCCAGTGCTGGAGAACATGATGAGAGAAACCTCGGCATCGCAGAGAACGGTGAGCTCTCGAGCTTTCTTGACGATACCTCCTCTTCGCTTCGAATAGGTGACTTGCCGGTTCGTTGAATTCTCTATTCTCTTAATCTCGATCTTCCCTCTACCCATCTTTTGCTGTTATTTTTATTCTTCTCCTCCTTTTCTCCACCGTGACTGCCACTGCCACCGCCACCACCACCACCACCTTTACCGAAGACAAGAAAGAAAAGCTGAAACACAGGATGAAGCCCAAGAGAAGAGGGGTAGGGGGTAAGGAGGGAGAAGTGCATTCCAAATCGGGAAGGCGGGACTAAAAGCTATCACTACTATAAACGGTAAGATTTTTCCATTTTCATGAAACGTTTACGGACACTGAGAACGTGTCACGTCCATTCCCGTTTAAATAATCGGTCGCTGTCTCCAACCCCTTATCCTCACTCCTGGGACCCACCAGACTTGATAGGGGCTGATGATGACCTGGAGGAGATGTAAATATAAGTGTAAATACTATTTTTTTACCATGGAACGGGACAGATAAAGTTTTTTCCGGTTACGAAACAGCCCCACTTCAGTTGTTAGTGTTTGGCAATAATAACGCCCCCGTTGTTACGGTCTTACACAGACTTAGCTTTGCTTATGCTTGGCAGTTAAAGGACATCATCATCATTTTCGCATGTAAGATTTTTAGGAGAATTGATGTTATCTTCATGCAGACCACCAAAATCTTAAGGTATTCTTTGAGGAGGTGTGGTCGACCTCCTTGGGTGCATAACCTTAGCACTCCTAGACCATCATCCCTTGCGGGGTGGCCCTAGTTAATGGCTAGCATGGCTATCAGGGTTCCTCATGGACACACACTTGCTCATGGTGATAGTGCATGGACTAGCACTACACTACCGACACTCAAGGGAGGCTTGGCATGCGGGCCTGCTCAAGCATGACCCTTCACCATGCCAGCCCCTTGCCCAAGATGAGTGAGCTACCCCCGTTGCCTTTAGCGCACGGGTGTGTTCCGGCCCAAGCGGTTGCCTCTCATCAAGGCACACAAGGGCCCACATCATCGGCGTACAGGAGACCCTTCACATCGGTGCCAAGTCACCTCTCTTCGACGCATAGTCACCTCACATTATGGCCATCCCCCTTTAGCACGTAAGTGGCGCCTCCCATGGACCTTGGTGGAGCCATCTCATTGGGCAACTCCTATCCTCTAAACACACAAAGGCTTGTCCTGGCCTGCCTTGGACTGAACGCCGTACGGGTTTTTTCCGCTATAGAACTACCCCCGTGACACCATGTCAACTATACAAGTGAAGTGAGGTTTGGAAAAACCCAGGATCTGCTCCTCACACCGACCTTACATCTTGTTGATGCCGCACCTCGAGAACATCTCTCATACTTATAAATATCGTAATTGTGGTACAGTTATCCTTCATGTTGCCCTTTCTTTTAAGACTGCTAGTCCGGACTCAACTCGGCCAGTTTGAAAAATATTAAATAGATGACGTGGCTTTAATACCTATAGTGAAAAGAGTAAGGGAATTAAGAATTTGACAGCTCCACTTCCTACCAGCGATATAAATAAGTTCACATCAGTCCTCAGGCCCCCCACAAAGAGCGTCCCACAATGTCCCACAACACATCCCAGCCGTGTATCGCAGCTGTGTATTGAGAATATATCCCGATGGAGTTTATATGCTAGGCTTGTGTATCAGGAACATCTTCCAATGATGATATCATCAGTTTTGGTAATATCATCGGAGATGTTCTCAATACACAACGTTGATATGTCGTGGGTAGAGGTGTAAATCGGGCCATGGCACTCGTGGCCCAGCATGAATTTGGACTGGCCCGACACAGCCTGGTACGACAGTCTGTAGGTCATGCTAGGCTTGGCATGATCATGCGAGCCGTGCTGGGACTGGGGTTTTAGGTCCCCAAGCCGGCATGGCACGGTACGACTAAGTGGGCTTATATAGTATATATAATATATTAATAAAATAAATATTTTTTTTAATTTTATTATACTAATTTATTTAATTATTATATATAAGCAAATGTATACACAAAATTCATATAAAATTAAAATTTTGTTTTTTTGTCGATTTTTTAAATAAATAGTTTTGGCCCAATGCACGATCCGACCTAGCCCAAGGCTCGACCCACTGGCCAGCCCGGCCCATGGTACGGCACGGGCCTACACAGGCCTGGGCTGTGGGCCATGCCAGGCCAACCCCCAAATTTTTCACCAAGGAAGGTAGCACGGCCCATAACGGCTTGCAGACCAACACAACATGACCCGCATTTTGCACAGACCACCCACAAACTATGCCATACTGGCCCGGCATGATCCACTTTACACCTCTAGCCGTGGGACATTGTGGGGCGGCCCCAGGGAGGAGATGTGATCTCATCCCGATGATAGTAAAAGAAATGACAAGGCACGGTTGAGATGTACTGTGAAAAGTTGTGGGACGACATCCTTGTGGGGGGCTGATTTGAACTCCACAGAAAAACAGAATTCTATTTTATTTTTTCCTTATCATCTCTTTGTGTGTTTTTGGGTGGGACCCGCTTGATCTAACCACAAATTTCCATTAAAAGTTTAGAACCTCTCCGGACACGCAACTTCAATATTTTTTGATACCACATGTGTTTGATTTCCTTGACATTCACTTCTTTTTCAATAAAGTTTAAAATATCATTTATCTCAACGAATGGCGTATCTAACCACAAATTTCCATTAAAAGTTTAGAACCTCTCCGGACACGCAACTTCAATATTTTTTGATACCACATGATAGATGGTGTTTGATTTCCTTGACATTCACTTCTTTTTCAATAAAGTTTAAAATATCATTTATCTCAACGAATGGCGTCAGATTGTTTGGTTCCGTCTATATTTATTGAGTAAATATTTTGTATTTGTGTGATTGTAAATTGTGAAAAATTTAAAAGATACCTTACGCTAATAGCTAAACAGTAAGGGCAGTGCATGTCATTACACTAAACAATAAGGGTAGTTTAAGAGATTTAACCTTAATTTTAATATGAAGAGAGGTGAGCGGAGCCAATGCTAGGTAGGGGTGAGCATTCAGTTTATTTGGTTAAAAACTGAATTGAATAAATCAAAATTTTAAAAACCGAAATAAAAAGATGAAAACCAAATTACAAGAAAATGAAATAACTGAAACCAAAATTTTCGGTTTGGTTTTTAGTTATTTTAGTTAAAAACCGAATTTAATTAATATATATACAAAATATTATATATTATAACCTATAATATATATTATGAAATTGAATTTCATTATAATACATTATATATAATATATTAATATATAAATATATAGCATATTATATATTATATGTTACTTATTATATAATGAATTTTTGGTTAATTCGGTTTTTTCGATTAACCAAACTTCTAACTCTGAAAATCGAAACCGAAAACCAAAATTCCTAAAAATCGAACTAATCGAACCGAACAAAAATAAAAACGAAACTGAAATTTTTGATTTGGTATTTCAGTTTTAACCAAATAATACTCACTCTAATGCTAGGGACAGGAAGAAGATCTAACATGCAAGATAGTATTTTGAATCCCATCCTCGCAGAATGAGCCACCACCAAGATGAATTAATTGTACATATGGGGGTGTCAAGCTCAGTTTAGAAGGAATACAAATACAAATATGTATAATATAAGATATAAAGGATTTTTACTTTACATATTTGTATTTGTACTCCTTCCAAACTGAGACTAAATAAACTGTCAAAAGCTGTAAATCCCCCTTCCCCTAACTTTTACATAGTAAGCACTTGAACAGCCTTAACAAAAAAAGTAAAATGACCAAATTCAAATATGTAGCAAGGTTTTGTTTTCAAATGAATGACCCTAGGCTTTCTTTAGAACAAAAGACCCTCGAAGCAAAAGTAGAAAATAAGTTGTTTTCTCTTCTTGAAATCTCAGATGAAGATAAGGTTAAAGGCTGAAACTTCTTTAGCGGTTGAAAACAAGGGATCCCTTGTTTCTATCGATTTGAGATTTAAGTAGTTCAAAACTGTAGTAAAAGGTGTGTGGGATCTGAAGGAAACTTTTGCTAAGAATACATTTTCGTTAATGTACAAGTAGGGGCAACATTTGATTTAATTGGGGAAACAAATTTGTTTTAAGCCGATTCCACTAAAGGCATCAATATTTATAGGACGGCTTCCCTACTGCTCTAGTTGCTCATGTTGTGTTAATGATAATGGACATTTAGAATCGGCACTCAATTGTTTATTAGAGGCTTCTAAAGTGTTGACCTTTGGCTTCGTTTGGGCAAATCTGATTTTCTGCCCTCTACTCTCTACCTACACTCTACCCGACTTGAATATTGTAGCCATAAATGGCCATGTTGTATTGTGAGATGTACAGTAAACTATGGGTAGGGTGTGGGTAGAGAAAGTGAGTAGAAAATCCAGGTTCTAGTTTAAGAACACAACAAACAAGGTTTTTAAAATCGGATTGGATAAAAAACCATTCTGGAGTCAAATGATTAACGGTTCAACCACCTGGGTCAATTGGTTACTGACCAAATCAATGGTTTTTGACTAAAAAATGGTTTGAGGGTGAAACAAAATAAGTTACTTGACCGATTTCTGATTTTTTCAGTCCAACCATCAGGTCCGATCCAGTTATCAAAACCATGAGAACAAATACAAATAAATAAATACAGTACAAATACATATAAAATATAAGGTCTTGCACTCTACTTGTTTGTATTTATATTCCTCCCAAACTTAGCCTTTGTTCCAAATTTATTTGATGTGCCAAGTAGTGTTTATCATCATCATTCCGTTGCACAATGGATCTTCTGCTGGTCACTGGCTATGCCCGTGCGTGCTATGTCCCAAATGGCCAAATGGGCTTCATTGCTAGACTTGTGCCAGCCTAGAAAGATGTACCAACTAGGCGATATAAGGGTACAATGGTACATTGTATTCAATCTAGCAGTGAAGTAGTGAGGACGTACAGTTATTGACCACCAGCTGAGAGTCTCCAATCTCCAGTCTCCATGGGTGTTACCGGAGATTTTCAAGGAGACTTGCAGCTGGCTTTTGCTCATTTTTTATGGCGAAGTAACAGATACGAATGGGAAGAGAAAGCTCTAGAAGGCCTAGGATTATGTGATGAGTTTGGACAGACTAGACTACGGCCGAGTAGAGTTGGACTAGTCAGAAGTGCTTATCGTCATATGCATGCAACATGGTGAATGGTAAGGTCTCGATTCCTTGGTGCTTGTGGTCCTTTTGGGAGCAGCAAGGTGGCAATAAAAAAAATTATTAGCGATGCTTACAAAGAATGCAGTAA